TATAGTATATAAATAATATTATTAAATATATTAAATAATAATATATTAAATAAACATATATAATACAAAAACGGTTTCAGAAAAGAGGGAAGAAAATGAAAAAGAAAAAAAAAAGTGAAATCCATTTTTCAGAAAACAAAAAACGAAAACGAGAAAATGAAAACACCTTTTTTTCGTTTTCTGATTTCCACAAAAAGACAAAAACGTTTTTGGTTTTGTTTTTTAAAAAAAATTGCACCAAACACGTTTTTAACACCCGTTTTCATTTTTTTGCTTTGAAAACCGTAAAAAGGGAAAACGAAAAACGCAAACAAACAGGCCCATATATTTTTTCCTTTGATGTGACTGTTATTAGACCTAACGTTTATAAGATCTACTGTCTAAAAACATATATTATCGATAAGTAACCTTACTGTAAAAAGATACTTATATAATGTTTGGTTTATAAATTTAGAATTATTCTTGTTTTATGTGTATTTTTTGTGAGAAAATACTGTAGCAAGTCACGAATCATAATTCGAATCATGACATGAATCTCTCTTCCAAACGTCCCTCTTATAAATAAGACGATGTGTATCTGATAAAAAAATATTGTAATAAAAAAATTAGTTTCAAATTTTTGTGAGAAAAAAACTCTTAAATTGTGAAAAGAACAACTCTTAATTTGTGCAGACTAGCGCTTCCAAAGCACAAATTCTTGGCATGTTCATCAAAGAAATGAGGACCTCGTTCAATCCGCTAATTTTTGTTTTCAATTCAAATTGAGATGTGACTTTATATGAAAACTTTTAACTATAACAGAAAATATTAGATGTGACTTTTTATGAAAGCTTTTAACTATAACAAAACTGAAATTGAAAACTCAAATTGATAAAATAAAGGAGGCTTAAAAGAACTTATAATGCAATAAACATGAAAAATTGAAAATCCTTAAAAACACACATTCCATCTTTCCGCTGCAACAGTGTCACTTTTGAAATGTACCAAGTTCTTTAGTGTAGAGAAATGTTACAAAGTTGGCAAACTATTTTTATTTTTATTTTTATTTTGAAAAAAAAATAACAAAATTACGAAAGATACCAAACCCCAAAACGAGAGAGAGAGAGAGAGAGAGAGAGAGAGAGAGAGAGAGTGGCTTGGTGTTGGAAAGCCAGATTCGTAAGCCCACACCCCTGCTCTCTGTCCTAAATTCCTAATCCTAAATTTCACTAAAACCCCAATAAGATTTGCAGATTACACAACTCATCCTCAAGCCACACTGCTATAGACATTTTTGCCGATCACGATAAAAACCTCTGGAAATGGTGAGTCATCACCCGCTAGGGAACCTCTGGACGAGGAAGCATAGGAACTTCAACGTCGACCTAACAAGTCGGAAAGTGACTTTAGATCCCAAGATTGCAGGTTTTGGGACATAATAGCAGCAACAGCTCCAAGGGCGATGGACAGGAGCGCTAAGCTCTTAGGGCATCCATGCCCTTGGGATAATCGTCCCAAAATCACCCTGCTGTACTTCTCTGCCTCCTTCAACAACGCATGGCGTGCACCATCTCCATCCTTTGCCAGTTCCTCCGAATTCTGAGCAAAATTAACATTGTTAAACAAGTTACAACCTTTCAACAATAAAAAGCAGTATATGACACAGTAGATCATGATACTTCCGAAAATTCAAGATACAGTGATCCTGCACAAGAAATCCTTGCCTTGGTCGCAATATATAATTTGTCTCGCAGAGAAATTCTGAATGAAAAGGCTTACCTTCTGCCTGAAACTCTACAGTTTCCCTCAAAGGATCACAAGAAAGATGTTTACCTTCTGCCTGAAACTCTTTACAGTTTCCCTCAAAGGGTCAAGAGAAAGATGTTTTGCAGAGTGCACGTTCCAATCACTAGACAGACGTTTTAAGATTACAACACCAGCTTCGAGATTTTCTAGATACAGCAAGTCCTGTTTCAAATGTTTAACAAAGTGGCATAATTAAATGGCGTTAAGAATGCGAGATGCATATCAAGTGAAGGATCTAAAAAGGTTACCCATTGCTTGCAACATTCAGGGTTTCGTGTTAAACACCAAATGAAAGTATCACTTGCTTCTCTTGACAGATCCGATATATCTGCAAAACCTCACTGCATTTAGACTCCAAAAGAGGAGAAATCTATATCGCTCATAATTCCAAGCATGGCCCAAACTAGGAAAGGACATGCCTTCTTTAACAGCTTTGATTGCAAAGGTTAATATCTGCTGTGCGGTTTGCTTCATTGCTTTGCTTTCGGGGGAACCAGCAAGGGCGATCTCTTTTAGAGTAGGATAAATGGCTTCAAACCTCTCAGTTGCCTAAGTCAAACAAATATGCTTCAGAAAACAGTTTTTATTTTTTTTCCCCAGAAAACTGCTGTTTGATTATAATAAGAATAGAAAAGATTGATACCCACCCTAACTCGGGATGAAGGAGAAGGAAAAGTGACTCTCATCAAGATGTCAAGTGCTGACGGCGGTACAAGGCGCTCCCCCTTTCTGACAGCACCATTCAGTAGTATACTGCGAGCTTTTGGTGCTGAGAGAATTCTGTATTCACCAATAAAAGAGAAGAAATTACAGGCGTACTTATTAATTATTGAGATCAGGCAATTTCACATGAATGTGAAAAAATAAGCTCAAATTAATCTAAAAGTGTCTAACCGTTGCACCAGCTGCAAAATCAAATCTCTTGACTGTGGATTACAGGTTGACTTGCTACTCAGCATAGGCAAGAGAAAATGAGCCCACATGTATAACCCCACAGCAAGATCTCCAACAGAAGCCTGGAACAAAGCCACAAGTTCTTGCTCATAATTAATATCAACAACAACAACAACAAGCCTTAATCCCAACTTAATTAGGGTCGGCTATATAGATTTCACCTTTTCACATGGCTCTGTTCGAAATTAAACTTTCCTAAAGGCCTAGATCTAGAATGTCTTTCCTAACGACTTCGGTCTACACAATTCTTGGTCTACCCCTCCCTCTCCTAGTATTAGGTATAAGAATGTCCTCTCAAGCACGAATTGGTGCTTCTAGCGGTCTACGTTGGACATGCCCGAACCACCTCAAGCAACCTTCGCGCACCTTATCTTCTATTGATGCTACACCTACTTTACTACGAATAACTTCATTCCTTATGCGATCCATTCTCGTATGACCACTCATACATCTTAACATACGCATTTCTGCCACACTCATCTTAGATATATGCTGTCTCTTAATGGCCCAACATTCACTACCATATAACATAGCTGGGCAGATTACAGTCCTATAGAACTTTCCTTTTAACTTAATAGGCATCTTGCCATCACATAAAACTCTCACAGCATTCTTCCACTTAACCCACCATGCCTTAATCCTATGTTGAATATCCTCTTCTATGGCTTAGTTTGGTATTGCTTTTCCATCCCAAAATCAGCTTCTGCTTGTAGTAGAAGCTGATTTTAGTGTTTGGTAAATCTCCTCAAAAATACTTTTTGAAGAATTTTTCAAGAATCTACAGTCAAAATCAGAAACAGCCTAAAGACAACTTTAGCTTTTAGATTGTGCGGGAATCAGCATAGTACACTTAATGAAACTTTTATAATACCCCTAATAAAATTAAAATTGACAATCTTTCCAATCTAAAATTCAGACTCATAATATAATATAATATAATATAATAGTAATATTGTAATAGATAATATCATAATTATATTAATTACTCTAATATTATTATTTTA